TTATATTCAACAAAAAAAGATACTCACAGAAATGTTTTAAAAATTAAAAGATATGAGAAACAAAGACAATTTCGAAGAACAATAGTTAAACTTATTACAATAATTCCACCATATTTGATTACCTTTTTCCAGAGCAGTGTGTCTTTTCTTTCCTTAGGCGAGAGCAGATGATCTCGCAACCACGAGGCAACCACCCACGGTTCATCCCCACCACTTATACTCCTTGCAAGTAATGACTTCTCTTCAAGAATATTGCAAACCTAATATATCATTACCAGATTAATCAAAAGACTTGGCCTTTGTGCTTCAAGCAACCGGAAAAAACACAGTCTCATTCAAGTTTATATTACTTAGATTCAACAAATCCTCAACGCATAAATTAGAAACTCAAGAGATGACATTGTTCAGTTTCTATCTACTAATTATGCGTTCTGATAGATAAAACGTCAAGAGTTTTATAAATTCATAATGGCAAATTTATGTTCTATGCACCCTTACTTCCTACTCACCTTAACAAGATGGCCGCTCTCTGAGAGAAGTTTTTGAGGCTTAAACAAGGATTACGGTAGTGGAACTGACACTTATTTAGTGACGTTTACCAGAGGGTTAGAGATGCTAAGAGTAGGGGTGATGAGATTGAGAGGAAGTATGATTTGTAGCCTACAGTAACTTCGTCTCTCCATCAATCTCAAGCGATTTTGAACAGTACGTTATCTATTAAGAAGGGTTTCAGGTCAGTTCTAGCTGGGTGTGAAGGGAACCGCAACACCCGATACTTTTTCATTCTTTAGTCCAGGGTCGCTGAGTTCGCTTGAATATTCGGTCCATTAGGACCCCGTCAGGAGAAGTTATATCTACCCCTGATGGTATTCAGAGCTTGGCTATCTCTAATCATATGACATATTAGGACTACTTATAAATTGAACTGCATGCACATGTCTTCTAGTAACCTATTGCAGAAAATTCCAATGGAACTGAGGAAATAAGTTTCAAAGAGGAACAAGTTTACCTCAAGATAAAGCTGTTCAGCTCTAACAGATAACCGATGCTTTTTACGGACCTTTAACACAACTGATATGCATCCCAAAAGCTGTAAATCTCAACATGGTCAACAAGCTTTCAACATGTCGATAACGTAACACAAGCTTTTAAAGCTGCATATTACTGTAGAATACCAATGCACAAGCTGGCACCAAAATGAAAACATTCTTGATAATCCACTCTAGAAGACGACAGGAAAGTGGTGTATAATGGTTCACGAGAAACTCTGGGCACTTGAACTCTTCAATCCTGAAAGAAAAACGTGTGCGCTTAGAAACAATGTTCAAGAAGTTTAACTACTTCATGGAAGATTGTACGTTGTATTCCTCGACAAAAAACTGACAAATTACCCNCAATTCAGAATTGCTATCACAGAAGGGTTTGACAGGGCGATTGAGAGAGGCTGCAATGAATTTACAGGCCACCGCCACAGAGGCAGCGACGGCAAAAACTCCGATTAGCCGAACGAAATCAGCCCTGGAAGATGGAAACAAATTAAAGGATGGTTCCAGCGGGGACAAATTGCTAGATGTAGAGGTTTGAGGAGGGTTTCGGTTCGGAGTTCTTTTTTTCCTGGGATTGGAAGCCATGATTATGGCTAACTGTAACTCTCCGCAATGGAATCGCAAATCCAAATTTACAACAATTTGAAGAGAAGCATAAAAAGGTGTCTGAAAATTGACGCTGGAACCTTCTGCTCCTGTTTTTTTGGTTCAGCTTGATTAAAATTAGATTTTTAATAAATTTTGAGCTTCTTTGAGTCACATTAATTTTTTAAAAAGTATGTTTTTTAAAAGTAATTTGACATCATTTTAATCATATATTCATTAATAAAATAATATTACACATAAATTTTAATTTTTTTATTTTTTAACCACACATTTTCTATTGATTTGACATGAATAATACATTTTTTCTAGAACGTGGCTCGAACATGAGCTTGACAAAATTAATAAAATATGTAATTAAAAATTTTAGAATTCAATAAAATGTCAAGTTATAAATAATTTTTGACTTTGAATTACGGAATATTGCAAGAAAGAACGATAAAAGGCTAAAATGAAGTAAATTCAAAATTCGAAAACTAAAGTTTAAATACTCAAAAGTTGTTTCGGATATCAAGATAAAGATTCAAAAGTGTTAAAAGTCAATTGAATGAGGAAATAAGTCAAACAAATGAAGTAAGTGAAACTATTATCACAAATTAACTTTCAACAAAAAAAGTTATGCTTGAAATTTTCGGCCTCATAATTTTGGCATAGCAAACTTTTAAATTGGAAAAATGATATTTTTAAAAAAATTGTAGACTCCAAGTTATCTTTCCAAGGCACTTCAAATCACTTCCATCGAATGTCAAGAGATAAAGTTACGACAAAAATACTAAAAATTGTTTGGTTGTCGAAAATTAGACGAGGTGTGCGCTCTTGCCTGCAGGAGAGGCACGTGCCCCAACCAAGACCGAGGCGTCCCAAACTAGCCAAGCACGCTTCTGAGTGTAAAATAGGAAAAATATATCTTTCCTTATTTTATTTTGATAAGCAATCTCCTTGACATCATATAGATAAGGGAACACCTCAAGTCCAATAATCATCATTATAAGCTGACTTTCGAAAGAAATAGAGAGAATTTACCTTGAAGAACAAAGAATTCATTTCTTGGAATCAAATTTGAAGGCATTAATTGAAGATTTTCAAATTTTCTTTATAGTTTAACGATTTGAGTGATGACTTTCCTTTATTTCTCTTGTAATTCTTACATTAAGAGTGTGTTTGATTGACATGGAAAATATCACTTAGAAAAGAAAATATTTTCCATCTTTTGTGGAAAATAAAAACCACCTTTACCCAAAAAAAATATTTTCCTCAAAAACAAGGAAAATTAGACATATTTTCAAAAGTTGAAAAATATTTTCCATGGAAAAAAATAGCAATCAAACACTCAAAGTAGGAATTTGGGTGGAAAACTGATATTTTTCATGAAAAATAAATGTAATCAAACACACCCTAATATATTAAGCTAAAATCCTTTGGATTGGATGGATGACAAAACTTTTTTATTCTTAATTTTTAGTTCGAGTAGTGTTTTTATCTTAAGTCTTGAGTTGTGATTTCATTAATATGCATAGTTACATTGTTTTAATGTTTACTCACCATTGTGACAATAAATTGCTTATTCGTAATGTTGAAAAATTCGTAGTAGGCAGAACGTTGTTTATGAGACATATGGACAATAAATATTAGGAATAGTATTTACGGGGTGTGCAATCATGTGTAATAATCTTAAATATCAATGCATGTTTGCTGTATAAATTCGAACTAGAAATATGATCGTCTCGTAGTAATCATATGTTTATTACATCTCGAAAAAGAATAGTAAATAAAACTGGAATTATCAATCGCTACAATTGCATGAATTGAAGTAATTATCACTAGTTGAGAAGTAAAACTAAGAGTTGATCAGTAGAGACGGAAATCTGATATGTTCACCAAAATTTGATTTTACAGTTATAAAATGTAGTTAGATGCCAACCAATTATCTTTTTGTTATAATCACGAATTTAAACATATCAAATACACTAAAATTGAGATTTATTCCCTGTAGGACGATTACTCTGTTATCACGATTATTGATTTTATAATGAACCCGTACGCTTGCGAAATTTTGTCGAAGGACTTAGATTAAAATTTTGATTTTAATTTCCACCAAACATGAAATTAATAGCTATCTAAATAAAAATTACTTTTGAACAATAATATAGGAGATATTTCAAAATAATTAATTATTTTACTTAAAAATAATTAAAATTATAGCTATCTAAATATGTTTGAAAATAAAAATTACTCAAACCCAATGGCAACATTCTCTCGAGCTTGGGCCAACTTTTATGATCAAGGGATAAAAAAAAGGGGGGAAATTCGTATATTCAATTCAATTTTTAGATATTAAGTTTAAAATTTTAGAGGTCGGGTATTAATTCAATATTTTAATTTAAAATAATATTATTATTAAATTAAATTAATCTACCCACCCCACAAAACCCTGTCCGCATCCCACTCCTGTGCACTTGTCCGTCACCATTCTCTCGTACAATTGCCGACATCCATCCTCGCAGTTACTATCATCCAAATAACATTATCGAAGAAAAGATAAAATTTACAGAAATCGCTAACGACTTCTTTAACGATAAATAGATCGTAGCTCAACGGTACCTGAGCATTGCCAACTCAGATAGTAGAGATAGAGAGAGAAACAAAGTAGAGTTAGAGAACATTGATTGATCATTGTCAAGGACTAAGCAGTGTTGGTGTAATCTAAATCTATATTTTAAAATTAGAAATTGAAAATTAGCCCATTGTATAATTTACAGATTATTCACCAAGCAAATAACTTCAATTTTCACCAACAAAATCTAGTTAATTGAATTTGTGACAAATTCAAAAATTTGAGGTTGGAGTTATCAATGGCATGTTAGCAAATCTCTTGAATTTGTGATTTGTAAGATATGCACTTTGACATATGACCTGTAACGTGAGACCTATGATCCTATGAACATTGATCTATGATCAATTTTAATTGATATGTGACATTTAGACATTGATCCGTGACCAATTTTAATTGATTTGTAACCTATTCATAGTGATTTGTGACCTATACACAACGACCATTAGTGTGTGACTTGTGAAATACAAACATGATCTATGACTAGTTCTGTTTGATCTGTGAATATTTATACAACCATGCTATGGGTACAAAATAGTATCCAAAGGGGAGTCCAAAATGGGCACTCGGCATTGGTCGAGGCGCCTGCCACGCCGAGGCCCATCGACACCTCGGCCAATACCGAGGATGGACACCCCTTTGTCAACAATTTTGTACCACAAGCATTATTCATATTTACATGTGACAAATGCACAATAACTTGTGATATGGTACGTATGACATGTGACCTATCACTACTATCGACACCTCCAACAGATATCAACTCAGATTTGACATACACTCTTTGAACACGTGGCAATCACCAACACCACAACAAAACTATCTCAAAAACCACCTCAACATCACTACAAAAAACAGCAAAAACACCTTAAAAACTACCATAAAACTACTATAAAGTCATCACAAAAATTACCAAAAATCACCATGTAAAGTGCCGCAAATCACTAAAAAATTAACAAAAACCACCTCACAAACTGCTGCAAAACCACCTCAAAACCATTGCAGGGGCAATCTGAGCCCTAATCGAAAAATTAGGAAAGTGAGATCTTAGATATTGATTTCTAATTCCTACTTGCAAAGTAGAGGAAAAATGGCAGAAAAAGGGAGTGTAGAGTCAAAATGGTAAAGAGAGAGAGTAGATAAACATACTAATAGAGAGAGAGAGACGAAATTGGGATCAAATTAGGTTTTGAGTTGATTAGAGGGTGGTGTGTAATTTAATTTTATATTAATATTAAAATATAGAATTACCACCTGATTTTTGAATAAATAAACCTACAATCTGCTTTTCGAAATTTAATGCTTGAAAAATTGTGCCATCGTGATTTCCACTTAAAAAATTCATATTGAGCTCATGCATAAAGTTTTTTATCTTAAAATATTGAAATGGACGTACTCCACCCTCCGCCCAGCTGATGCAATTAGTTGTACATATTAAGGCTATGTTTGAGCTACATTTTTTCAAAGAAATACAATTTTAAATAATGATTTGACATCATTTCAACTACATATTCTTCAATAAAATAATATTATACGCAAATTCAGAACTTTTTTTTTATTTTTTAACCACACATTTTCCATCAATACATTATTCAGAAATGCACAAATAAGGGCTAAATGTTCAATACTATTTAGTATTATCAAGCAAATATTAAAGACACCAAATTGCATGTAAATTTATAAATACCCATATAAACTATTAAAGTGTAGATGTGTAGTAGATATAGCCCCTGTTTGGCCCCCATTTTTTGTAATGAAAATGGGGGAAATAGTGTTTTGTTGAAAAAATGAGTGGTTGAAAAAGAAGAAAAATTTTTCGATTTATGTGTAATATTATTTTATGAAAGATTGTGTGGTTGAAAATAGAAGAGAGAAAAATAGAATGTAATGTAATGTAATTTAATGGGAATCAAACAAGGGCATAATTGTAATTCACGAATAGGTATGTGATCAGTTTTCAAATATCGATAAAATAGTCATTAATACACCTAAAAATGTCATTTCCAACACTACACAAAAGTTTGCACCATTTACACCAAATATTATATCAGACTGAAAATCATCTC